CGACTATACATGTTATTACCTGATAATATAAGACAAATTAAGAAAACACACCTTTTTAAAAATAAAGTGAAGAAATTTATGAGTACACTGCCCAAATCAGAAATTATAAAAATAATTGAAAATTAAAAAATATATATCAAAAAATTAAATTACCTTAATTTATGTCTTACTCACCTTCTTAACTAGCACTGGGATATTTATAAAAAACGAATATATAAAAATTAAAAAGCTATGTAAAAAAAGATATTAAATACCATGTTAAAAAAAAAAAAAAATAAAACAAATATGTAAAAAAATAAAAAAAAAATTGTTAAAAAATGGTTAAAAAAAATGTTAAAAATAACACTACCTACTCACTAAATAAACAGGGATTACGTATATTACCTTTCTTCCATATATACTTTTTTCTGTTTTCTCTGTTAGTTTAAGCTGTCTATCTAGAATTTTTGTTTTGTTTTGAATTAGGGCTTAAGAATAAAATATTAAAAATGTTAAAAATAGTTCCTTAAAGTAAACGCAAAACTCACGCACAAATCTCTCCTTGAGATTTCAGTGGGTGCTCAGTTTATTTTCCGCAACTATTTAAATTTACTATTGTAAATCTGTTCTTATATTTATATTTTTTTGTGGAAAATAAATTATTATTATTATTAACTATTAATATTATATTTATATTTGTATTGAACACAGTAACAGTAATTAATGGTATTGCCTCGGGCATTGGTATTACCATAGATTTTTGGGGCAAAATAGTTTGGACAGCATTTTCTGCTTTCTCCGATATGTGTGGAGGAGTCGATGTAAGTCTTCTATATCGCTGATATCAGACATTTTGATAATATAATTATCGAAGTTTAGCTATCTACGAAAATTTAATACGTACTGATTTTGACAACTAAAACAATTACATGGGAACCTAGGACAAACGTCAAATGCACAGCATGCTTGATTGAAAAATTATGGGTTTGTATTGATTAAAAATCTGTATCGTTATGAAACGGATTATGGGCATATAAGTGCATTTTTATAATACGGGTGTAGAAAAAATAACTTATCAAATAACAAATGATGGAAAACAAACATGATCGAAAAGAATAAAGTTCGAAAAGAATAAGGAAAGAAAATAATAATCATCGAAAATAGACGTGATTGAAAAAGTAATTGATCGAAAAAACAATCGAAGATTAATAAAAATTAATTTTTAGAGAAACTAAATATTAGAAAAAAATTGTTTTAATATTTTGTTCGAATTAATCACAATGGGTGGCTCAGTGGTAGAGTCTCTGCCTGTGGATCCAAGGGTCCCAGGTTCGAATCCCACCGTTGGCCGGGATTTTTTTATTTAATTTAATTATTTAAAATAATTCTGATGCCTTGGTAGGATTCCCCACTCGGCCATTCACTGTTGGGTTCTAATTAACAGTGCTGTTCCTAAATTGGCGCTGGGAAACAGTAACATAGCCTACACAGACCACGAGGCTAATGGCCTTAGTAGTCCTCGTCGATGACACAAATTAAAAAAAAAAATATTCACAATGCTTTAATTTAATCTCAATGACTATAAATAATCGTTTAGCTTTAAAAATATTTATTTGCAAATTAAAAGTATTGTAAGGATAGAAATAATTGTTAAATGAGACAACTATCGTTTGAGACTATTGAAAAATTTACCCTTAGTACCTAATTTGACGATAGCCGCTGAGTATAGTTTGTATGGTTTTCATAAATGTCACATAGTTGTTTATTGTGAATTGTCTTACATTAATTTTGACGCATTATCGTAAAAGTCAATTTCATAATCTGCTAAAGTAGAAGAAACCGTCTTTATAAACCTTATTTTTATTTATTTAACTCAATATATATTGAGTTAAATAAATAAAAATAAGATTTATAAAAACATATCTTTTTAAAGAAATACAAATAAAAAAAATAACTAAAATACCCAACCCGTGCGGCCTGGAGCCATTAAAATTTTTCTAAACCAACTTGACACAGTTGAAATCTGCAATTGATAAGTTCTACCTCGGGCGGCCATACCGAAATACATTCGTTTATGTGTAGTTTAATGTCTATTACTAATGAAGATCTGAGTTAAGGTTTACCGAAATAGCCAGCTAGTGGACTTTTTTTGTCACTTTTCTAACGATTACGAGAACAACGACCAATTTTTCGTATATTATGTTATAAATTGCTTGCATCATATAAATTGGTTATTGTTCTTGCTTATTATACTTTTCACACAGTTGTCAGTGAAGAGTATCCTAGGTTTATTGTCAAGAAACCAAAATTTTTAATATTCATCCAAGATTAAAAAGGTCTGTCCGATATCACGTTTTTTGTCCGCACGAAAGTCAAAATCGAAAGATGATATGAACTTAAAATTTTCAGGAAAAATCAATCCCTATAAGGGTACGAAGCCTATTCATTTTGAAACAAATCTGATAAAAAATGGAAGGGTTAAGGGGGATTGATACTTAAAAAAATCATAAAACAAAAACGAAAAACAATATCAACTTGAAATTTTTAGGAAAAATCAAGCTCTACAATGAAACGAAGCCTATTTATTTAATAGAACATCTGAATAAAAATAGGGGGTTAAGGAGGTTAAAATTTAAAAAAATTTATAAATCAAAAACGATATCAACTTGAAATTTTCAGGAAAATCAAGCTCTGCAAAGAGACGAGCTTATTGATTTTAAAAAAAATCTGAATAAAAATGGGGGATTAAGGGGGGTTAAAATTAAAAAAAAATCCAATCAAAAACAAAAAACAATATCAACTTGAATTTTTTAGGAAAAATCAAGCTCTGCAATATGGGGCGAAACTTGTTGATTTTTTAAAAATCTGATCAAAAATGGAGGGGTTAAAGGGGGTTGAAATTTAAAAAAAAATAAATCAACAACGAAATACGATATTAACATGATGTTATTATTAAAAATCAAGCTCTATAAGGGGACAAAGCTTAATGATTTTGAAAAATCTTATAAATGGTGGGGTTAAGGGGGGTTGGAAGAAACTTAAAATGAAAAATAATATCAACTTGAAATTTTCAGGAAAATAAATTAGGCAGTAATATCTAGCTCGCATTGATACATACATGATGAGACTATTCTGTTCCCTATAATATCTAGAATATGCATATATTTTAAAGTTTTAATTCCTTCCAGTTTCCAAGAAAAAATAAATCAAAAGGCTTTAAATTTTGAAATATCATAATGAAAATAAATGCATTCCTCAACAGCACTATTCTTAATAAAATCCCGAAATTTGAACTCTTAATGTCTTGTTAATAATTTATTAAAATTCGCCGAAATTAGTGGCTAAAACCCTCGTTAAGTACTGCTTTCTGGTGTAATGTGTCTGTAATTATCATATCGTACACTCTCAGTCATCATTCGTTTCTTGCAACGTTTTACACCAGAAGATAGCACTTAACGAACCGTTTTAGCCACTAAATTTGGCGAATTTTAAAACATCATTAACAAGACATTAAGAGTTTAAATTTGGGGAATATATTAATAATATAGTTTCATTGCTGGGTTTTCTATTTCTGCTTCTCACCATATTTTTCTAAAAGAGTTTATATAAAACAATGTAATATTCTGATGGGTACAATGGCCACTCCTCCACATTAAGAAACAGTAATGACCTGTACCCCTTTTATAAGTGACTAGTATGCCAGTAGAATATTAATACATCCAACAATAAACTTCACAAGGAAAATAAACTTACGTTAATATTTTCTGCCAAAAATTCGACAAATGGTGAAGACCGAAAAGTTATTTCACTTTCTTTTTCTGAGTAATTTGCATTTCTATTATACTAGGTCGCCATAGTAATATCAAATTTAATTTAAAAAATATTTAAATCTGGCCATTGTGCCCCTATATCCACTGTACCCTGGTCTCGCTCCCCTACGGTATAATTTTAACATATTTGTTATAGAAATACCAGAAGAGAAAAATTACTTAAATTTTTGTTTTTCGTTCATTGTCCCTAACATTGTTTATCCAGTGACATAGTGTCTAAAATCGGGTAACGAAAACTGTGTTAAATCTTTATATAAATTTATATAATTAATATGGTTTACAACATAAAATTCTTTTTGTAAGTATCTACTTATAATCAATAGTATATTGAGCAAATAATAGAACTCATTACTTGCGAGTTGAACATTATGATTTTTTCTATGGCTATGTAATAATTAAGTTTAAATATAATTAAAATTAAAATGACAGATCTCTTCTAGATTATTATTTAATTTTGGACATTTCATGGCACACATGATTTTATTGAAATAATTAAGGAATTACTACATTGTATTATCAGATAAGAATCTGATACGGAAATGATTACTTTGTATTATTAGCAGTGCCGGCTCGTGAGCAAAATATTGGGAGTTCACAATGACAGAATATAGATCTTAGTACAGATTTATTCTGTCATTGTGAACCATCTATATTTTCGTCACGAGCCGCTATTGGTTATTAGAATTATCAAATACCCAATTATACCCCATTTTTTAATCAAAGGTGAGAAAGTGTAGTTTTGTATTATTATACCCATAGAAAAAATAATGTCCATGATACTAAATTTGAACAATAAAATAGAATGGTGACTTAACGAATCCATATTCTTGAATAACAGTAAGGCAATACCTAACTCAAAATCAATCCCACATAAAAAAAATTTCAAAGTTAAATAACAACCGGTTTTGGCCTCAGTTTGTTTGAATATTTTTTTATGTGGAATTGTTTTTGAGTCACTGTCACAGTTTATCGAATAGTCCTTTAAACATAATTTTAGAAGTCTGGAACAACCTGCTTCAAAAAATTATAGACTCTCAAAGTGCAACATTTACAAAAACAATATAATACCTATACCTATGCATATTTTTTACAATTTTATGATGATTACATTTTAATTTGTAAATTATTTGAATTTATTTTTGAATTTATCTCTGTATTTATTTATTTATGTTCAGTTAAAATTTTGTTCAGGTACACCATGGTGGCCTTGAACTAGACGGAGAAAATTCAAAAGTGAGTACCTATGAATTTTTTAAATAAATAAATATTTATCAACATAAGTTATTTTTTATTAACAAAAATATTTTACCCTTTTAAATATGTACAAAGTTTTTTATTAAAAATATTTACCGCTTAATTATTAACAAACGATCTTAAGCGTTCGTGTAAGTTATATACGAGTAAATTTTAAATAATCGCTATTAGAGTTGGGCGATATTTCACAGACTGTTACTTATATAATTATTTTAATCTTAATGATTTGAAGAAATATAAACTCATTAATTTTACTAATGACGTAACGATTCAAACGGTGATTAAAAATCACGCTATCGTCCAACTCTACTTTTTCTCTGAATTAACATTAACGTTTCCATGTTTACAGTTTTAGACGTAAGTAACTATGCAAAAATGCGTTGTGAATAGTTTATTGCGTTACTTTTGATTTAAGCGTGTCTAGCGAGATAAAAACTGTTGTGTAAAGCTTTACACTACATTTGAAAGCTAATTTTAATAATAATTTAATGCACAAAATATAATTAAATGAAATTAATTGAGTAATCTTACAGAGCTTTAACGTTAAGAAAAACTTTAATCGCAATCAATCAAAATACGAAATTTATGTTACGTATTAAATTACTAATAAAATTCGCTTTTAAATGAGGTGTCATGCTAGAGAGTGCTAAAATAAAAAGCAACTCAATGAATAGTCACATTGCTGAATTCTCCATCAAATTTTGATTGATGTATCATACTTGGTATTTTTTAAATTGTATTGGTTAGAATGATGATATGATAATGATGATTTAATAAAAAACATTGAAGGGATCAACCATTTGTCTAAATTGTTGACGCAGTTCCTGATGATGGCGTTGGTACGTTTTCGTCTGACCACTCTGTATATTGGTTGGCAAATCTAAAGTAACCCAAATTTTTTTCCTAAATCGGAACGTTTAGGAAATATTTAATCATACCATGAACGCAAATTTTGAAAGTCTATTCGCTCTGTGCGCGACAACAGCGCTAATTCATTTATGTACTAATGGACTATTTTTGCGTGTACTGACAATACAATTTTTAATAGAATTCGTAATTAAAAAGTATATATGTTAGTTTTAATAAAAGTATATGGATTTGTAAAACAAGTAAAACATTAATTTATTATTATTATATATTTTTATCGCCTAAACTAAAAAAAAGTATTATCAATAAGAATCAAATAAAATAAAAGCGGGCAACAGTAGTTACGGAAAAATGTTTGAGAAGTTGCCTCAGTCTAATAAGTTGTCTTTGAAGAATTAACCTATTCTGTCAAAATAAAAAAATACCATTAAATAATAGCGTAAAGTTAAAATATAAAAACAGAAGGATAGTTATTTATATTTTCATTTTTGTTCGAAAGAAAACAGAATGAATAATTAAAACTGGTTTCCTATCAGTAAGTCACAAAATTGCATTCCAGCCACATACAATAATCAAAGGCAGAAATCTAGTTCTTGCTGAACCTTTTAAGATTAAAGGGATGTTGAAGAACATCGTAAAATGATAATTTATTGTTTATTTAAAACCTTTCAAGTTTCTGATGTCTACTATTTCCAGTATTACTGTTATTATTACAAAAATAAAGGTAATTTTTCTTCTTATTGTACACTTATCCATTTATTTCTTTGATTTAATTTCCACTTTGCTACTGAAATTTTTTATAATTTACACTGTTTTTGCTAGTATTTTTACAATTTTCAACACAGCTACTCCGGTTGCTTATTGTATTGTTTTTACCTACTTTAAAAAAAAAAGTTAAATGTATACGTTTATTTGATATGCCAAAATTACAAATTGTCGCACTAAAATGCACGAATTATCCGCAGCTAGCGCTAGTTTCGCTTTTGCTTCCCCTACCATGACTTCGCACTGAGCGAATAGTCTATATCAGTGGTTCTCAAACTTTTTTGGCGACGGAACCTTTTTGAAAAGCAAAATATTGGACGGAGCCCTAAACACATTTCTAAAAAAAGGGCTAAAAAAGGACTAAAAAAAGGCCCTCAAGCCAAGTTCCCCTCGCTTTTGTAGCAATAGTACGGTTTTTTATTATGACTATTATTTTCTTCGCGGAGCCCCCAAAAAGGCTTTGCGGAGCCCCAGGGCTACGCGGACCACACTTTGAGTAACGCTGGTCTATAGGAAGTAAGTGCATTTGATTAAGAATGATCCAGAAAAAAATGTACCAGATAGGCCGTGACCGACATAGATACAAGTCAAAAGAAGCAGAATTGAGAGATCCGACTGCGTTAACTTTTCCAAGGTCTACTTGAGAAACATTTTTGTGGATCATTTCGTGTATTATTAGATTTCAAATAGAAATCATTATAAAAAGTTATATTAAAGTAATTTCGCCAATCTGTTCGACTATAGAAAGTTTTTATTTTTTATGTAGCTTCTATGTTTTACTTCTATAAAATAAGACTGATAAAATTATAAATAATAAATATGTTCTTCTCATTCAAATTAATCCTTATTTAGAAAACCGGTAGCTTTGCACCGAAAGGTTACACTATTAAGTAGAAAAATGGAAATAATAACCACAGTGAAGAATATTAATAATAAAGATAATATTTTTTTTATTTTTCTGACATAGCAATATTAAAACGTTCATGGGGCGTGTTAATTAGACATATTTATGATATTTTACAAAAATAAGACAAATGAAATGAACAAAAAGAGGCGTCAAGCAAATAACAACAAACTTACTTAGTCGTTGAAACAAATAGGATAAACCAAGTGAAGAAAATATTCGTTGAATAGTCTTAACAAATACAACTCGTATAATTGATGATATTGAAAATTTTTCGCAACATTTGTTTAATTTTCTTTGTTTTTTTCTTCGTCTGGTAATCTTAACATAACACTGTTCTTTTTAGTTTGTTAGACTTATTTTTCGCTTTTGTCCTGTTCCATTTCCTTTATTTGTGATTAATATTTTATGTAAAATATATATTCTTACTTCCTGGTCTCTCTAAATTGTTGTATTATATAACTAGAATGAAGATATATCTATAATGCTTGGAGTTCTATATTATACTCTTCACAGTTTAACAGACCGCCTCCCCCCTTAACTCATTTTCAATAAGATTTTTTTCAGAATCAATAGGTTTCAGTCCCTTATAATTTTCCTGAATATTTTAATTTTATATCGTTTTTTCTTTTTGAGTTAGGATTTTTTTTAATATTTCAATCCCCCCATTTTTATTCAGATTTTTTTTAGAATCAATAAGTTAAAGAACTTGATTTTTACTAATAATTTCATGTTGATATCGCTTTTTGTTTTTGATTTATGATTTTTTTTTGTTTCATCCCCACTTAAATCCCCATTTTTAATCAGATTTTTTTAATCAAAGGGTTCCTTCCCCTTATAGAGCTTGATTTTTGCTAAAAATTTCAAGTTGATATTATATTTCGTTTTTCAGTTACGATTTTTTTTTATATTTCAATCTCCCTAACCCCAAATTTTTATTCGGATTTTTCAAAATCAACAGGCTTCATCTCCTTATAGAGCTTGATTTTTACTAAAAATTTGATGTTCATATCGATTTTCGTTTTTTGATTTTTTTTTAATTTCATCTCCCATTTTTAATCAGGTCTCGTCCCCTTATAGAGCTTGATTTTTGCTATAAATTTTAAGTTGATATCATTTTTTGAATTTGAATTATTTGTAATATTTCAACCCTCGTTAACCTCCATTTTTATTCAAATTGTTTTCAAAATCAATAGGCTTAGTTCCTTTATAGAGCTTGATTTTCCTGAAATTTCCAAGTTAATATCATTTTTCTTTTTTGACTTATCGTGCGGAAAAAAAAAACGTGACATCGGACGGACTCTTGAAGGAACATTTTTAAAAGTTGTTTAAAGTTTGATGAGAATGATTTTGGTACAAAAATTTTTAAATTTGGAACAAAATTAAAAATTTTGGTATTTTGAAAGTAAACCTATAATACTCTTCACAGACTACTATGTGAAGAGTATAATAATACATGAATTGCAATTTGGAAAAGACCAATATTTCTGATATTGACGAAATAAAGTGTAAATTCAAAGATTGCAAAAAATTAAAAATCTAAAAGGTTCGATTTGTAAATAATTAATAGGTTAGGTAAATTAGTTAAGTTTTTTCTCATTTTGGGTATAGTTTTTTTGTGAAACAACCCGCGATGGAACGGGGATAAATCAGTTTTTTTTATTTAATAATAATAGATAATAAAAAAGCGCTGTTTGAGGCTATTTAGTGCTAATGTGCTTAATATTTTTCTGGGTCGATATGTTCTCTACATGTTTTTGTCATTCTGGTTGAGCAAATACAATATGGTCGCACAATAATTAAAATGAGGCAATACAAGAGTATTAAAATTATTATTTTCTACACCCACGTGGATATTATAGCTTATCTACGCAAAGACTACAAAACGAAAAAGTATGCCATCGTGTTCAACTGAACGGATATATTTCATATCCATTCTATCATCAAGAACACTGCAAAAAATGAAATTCACCAACCACAGTTCATATTTTGGTCACCCGACTACTATTATTTTTTTATATTAACCTTCTGTTTCCTATATTCTAAATAATCACCAATAGCTCTTAATTTAATTAATGATATACCCCTATTAATATGATCTGGGCCGAAGCCCACTTTTACGAAGGTACCTATAATATGACAGTCACTGGCCATCAGGATATTAGATTTATTTTTTGTTTTGTTTAATTTTTTAAAAACAATTGCCATACTAGAATATGAAACTTTAAGCAACTATGGTATTACAAGGCAATTATGTTTACTCGTACCTAACTTCTAGCTCGAATAACCTTGAAATTGTCATACCCGGAACTCGGATTTTTACTCGTTGATACCGGCAATAGCGCCTCGGTTGCTCTGACTGAAAGCTCCCGTTCCCAAGCTAACGCGACCGAGCTTTTAGTAGTGATCAAGATGGCGTACAGGGGTAAAAAGCTCACGCCCG